GTCGACCTGAGTAGACAAATCGACGGTGTCGCGCTTTATTGATATGTCTTAGTCGGTCTTTGGAGACCGGGGACCGTCGAAGACCGGAGACCGTTGATTAGTGAGCATTGATTCGGGAATATTCGGATAGCATGCATATCGAAATAATTTGTCCAAAACTACGAGCGTACGATAGATTAATTTTGCGGTGATGAAAATGACAATACGCACGGGTTTTTAAGACAATTGCGTATTTTATTTTTTTTAATGGGTTTTGATACGCATTCTTAAAAAATCAATTGCGTACTTTATAAAATTAATTGCGTAAATACGCAAATACGCACCTTATCTGTTGCTCTGTGTCAGACTATTTATCTAAGGGCCTCTTGCTACCAGAGTTCCAGCAGTTGTTTCTTTAAGCCAGAATACTTAACACTCATTGTTAAAACTCATTGGTTAGTGTTAGTTGGTTAAAGATACGAAAAAAATGTCTCTAAGCTTGAAACTTCCTACACAACCACATAGAACTAATCATAAACAAGTCTGGAATCCCAGCTTACCTTATTTATTTTTTCTTTTGAATGTGTAAGAAGAGAAGGGAAATGTGAAAGTGCGTCACATGCTAGGACTGTTTGCGTCTGTTCGTCTGTGCCTGTTACTATATTCCCCACAGCTCTTAATGCCGCTGTCTGAAGAAGTAAATGTTTACTTTGATTTACATGTCTCAAATCTGGCAAAGGATTAATCTCACTACATCAACATTATACATCTTGTGTACAAGATTGATTTCAAGCAAATGCAAAATCATTAAATTTACAAAACTTTTGTTTTGAAAGAAAAAAAAAAAAATTTAGAAAAAGAAGCATAACAGATACATTTTTTTCAAATCAAGTATTAGAAACAATGCAGTGAAAAATATCTTTAATTTATCTACAGTTTTCAAACTCTCATACAAGAAACATGGCAATGCCACGAAACCAGGTTTTCAATTATCTCCATTGTAGATAAATATGTTGTATTTGAAATACAATTACAAGCAATAAACTATGTAACTATGTGCAATGTAAAACATGAATAATGTAGGAGGAATTGCCACAGAAGAAGTGTTCACTATATATTCTGTATAAGGAAAAAATATATTCTGTATAAGGAAAAACAAGAAACATGGCAATGCCATGAAACCAGGTTTTCAATTATCACCATTGTAGATAAATATGTTGTATTTGAAATACAAATACAAGCAACAAACAATGTAACTATGTGCAATGTAAAACATGAATAATGTAGGAGGAATTGCCACTGAAGAAGTGTTCACTATAATATTATGTATAAGGAAAAAAACAAAGGGCCATAATTAGGTCAAAAACTATCCAATCACAAAACCCCGACAATATGTGCCAGGGTGCTTGATGACAAAGCTTCTGTGAAAGTTTGAACAAAATCCGTTGAGAAATGTAGGACGAGTTCAGCACAGAAGAATTTGTTCACTATAATTATATTGATAATTCTGTATAATGAAAAACAAGTTACAAAGTAGACATGAAATAATATATCATATCTTTTTTAAATTACCTCCAAAGATGATATGACCTTTGACTGCCAAATCAAGTTTAAAATCATGTAAACAGGATTTTCAATGTTAATGTCACTGTGACCTTGACCTTGGAGCCAGCCATGCGGAACATGCGTTCTGCACGTCATCTTGATGTGGTAAACATTTGTCTGAAGTTTCATCAAAATCCTTCAAAGGGGTTGAAGAGTTACAGAGCGGACAGGATTTTCAATGTTAATGTCACTGTGACCTTGACCTTGGAGCCAGCCATGCGGAACATGCGTTCTGCACGTCATCTTGATGTGGTAAACATTTGTCTGAAGTTTCATCAAAATTCTTCAAAGGGTTGAAGAGTTACAGAGCGGACACAATTTTCGTTTGACGCCCGAAGTTAAAATCATGTAAACAGGATTTTCAATGTTAATGTCACTGTGACCTTGACCTTGGAGCCAGCCATGCGGAACATGCGTTCTGCACGTCATCTTGATGTGGTAAACATTTGTCTGAAGTTTCATCAAAATTCTTCAAAGGGTTGAAGAGTTACAGAGCGGACAGGATTTTCAATGTTAATGTCACTGTGACCTTGACCTTGGAGCCCAGCCATGCGGAACATGCGTTCTGCACGTCATCTTGATGTGGTAAACATTTGTCTGAAGTTTCATCAAAAATTCTTCAAAGGGTTGAAGAGTTACAGAGCGGACACAATTTCGTTTGACGCCCGAAGTTAAAATCATGTAAACAGGATTTTCAATGTTAATGTCACTGTGACCTTGACCTTGGAGCCAGCCATGCGGAACATGCGTTCTGCACGTCATCTTGATGTGGTAAACATTTGTCTGAAGTTTCATCAAAAATTCTTCAAGGGTTGAAGAGTTACAGAGCGGACAGGATTTTCAATGTTAATGTCACTGTGACCTTGACCTTGGAGCCAGCCATGCGGAACATGCGTTCTGCACGTCATCTTGATGTGGTAAACATTTGTCTGAAGTTTCATCAAAATTCTTCAAAGGGTTGAAGAGTTACAGAGCGGACACAATTTCGTTTGACGCCCGCCCGCCCATCCGCCCAGCCGCCCATCCGCCCGCCATACCCCAATCTAATAACCAGGATTTTCAAAATTGAAAACCTGGTTAAAAATGTCCAAGCGTCTCAATCTAAATTTAAATTTATTACTATTATTTAGGGCTGTCATTGATTATCACGATATCGATATATCATCGATATTCATCATCCGATACAATATCAATACACATTTTCACATATCGATACACGCTAAAAAAAATATTTTCTGTTAGTTAATATACCTCTATATTTTGGCTTATAAGAGAAGTCACTTTTTGCTAGTTTTCTTGGTTAACTTGAAATTTAAACGTTTTCAAATGTCAATGACAAGAATAACAGAGAAAAGAAAACTTTCTGTTAGTTTGTAGTATTTGTAATGTGTAATACATGTATGCATAACACCTAGATCCCAATTTATAACACATATATAAATGTTTTTCATTGTATCTACCGTCAAAGTCAATATATCGATATATCATTGATATTTGTCTCTTGATATATCGATACAAAATTTTCCATCATTGACAGCCCTACTATTATTCTAAATAAAAAAAACAATACATCAACTTTTTTTTCAAACAAGCTAACTAGTTTATTATCCTAAATAAAGTCCAGTCAACATCATAAAAGGAAACCGCCTTATTGCGACACTTACCTGAACTTTTACATCAACATGACTTAAGAGAGGCACTAAGAAAGGTACAACACCAGAGTCTATCACCATTTGTATTTGCTCATTGCCACCATCAGTAAGGTAAGACAGTGCCCATACAGTGTCGACAAGAATCTGAAATAAGATAATTATTCATTGATATATAGGTAGATTACTTGCTTTAGACACTAATATTATTGTCATGGTTAAGAGGTGCTCACTTATTAGGGGAGATTGTATAAGCTACTGGATAGTTCAGTCGATAAGAGCTGCGAAACGGTATTCAGAGGGTCCCAGGTTCGAGTCCCATTCAAGGTACACATTTTTCTAACTACGAAATTTTTATGCCAATTGCAGCTCTGTAACAAATGGTTTGATTGGTTGGCTTAAAATAACTCCATTAGAAAATCAAAGAACCAGAGTTTGTCACTCTAAGTTCTACATAAGAAGAACTAAACTTTAAAGTCAGATGATAAAATGCACACATTTTTATTTAAAAAAAAAAACAAAGAGTACTTACATTTATATCTTGATGGTGAATAAGCACACAAAGCGCGGGTAGAATTTCTTGTATGGTATCAACAGGTGGTGGGGGATCCTTGTTCCGACACAAGTTTACAATTACCCAAGCCACGTTACGTAAGAATGGGAGTGGTATATTAGGGTTGATAAATTCCAGCAAAGGTTTCACAGCTCCCAGGCTGATAACATAGTCTCTGCACTGAGGCCCATCACCTGAAAACGGAAACAGTTACATGTAACATAACATAACATTTCCTATGCAATACTCTAGGAAGTTGTATAATAATAATATTCAGATGAGGATTTTTTTAAAATCTACTTAAATTATAAATGAGAACATTTCAGTTATGTTCTTACTTAACCTTTAAGCGCAACAGTCTAAAAATACTTATTTTCAGAAATTACAAAATTGCTTTATTTCTATGATTTACCCTCTTCTCTGTATAAAAAGAAACTAATGATAACTAGAATATTCAGTTTGTTTAGCCTTACATTATATTTTACAACACTTTGACCATAGCACAAATTCCTTTGAAACAGCAAAAAAAAAAAGCCTTACAAAAGGATACATAGTTTTTTCCCCCACATGTATGAAAACCTGGTAATAGTCTTCTTACTCATTAACATACAGTTTCACACGGTTCAACTTACCTATAATATTACCAAGAGCCCAAACTGCCTGTTCTTGAACATTCTGCTGGTCAGACTGTAAAAGTCTTAGAAAATGAGGCACAGCACCTGAAAAATATCACATTAAGCTTATATAACATAAATATCAAAATATTTGACAATCTTAAACTGTGTTATTCATGTGAGTTGGATTTGCAAAAAGTAAACCTAAAACTAAATATATAATAGTACAATTTTAAAGTCATCAATTGGGTCATTTTCTATGGCAAACAAGCACAGCAGACCTTAAACCTTAGATGTAGAATAGGCAATAACTTTTCATTTTTTTATTATTTTGTTTTTTATGTTGCACCAACACAGTATAGCTTATATGGCAAATTTCCAGTTTTACTGAAGGAAGAGCTTAGGTGCCCCTCTGTGCATTATTTATGACACAAGTGAAATTCTGACCTGTTTCTTTACATGATACTTTCTATTATTTTTGTTGGATTTAAAGGTAATACTGATGTTGTTTAAGTCATATACAGATTTCAGAAGCATTATTTTGTACAAGCTTCTGTAAGCTAATTCATTCACATAAAAGAATCTGAATTCTCTGAGATTTGAACCAAAACGAAACAACAAATGATGCTTATAACAGATATTCAAAAAAGTGCCTAGTACTTATGAGTCAAACAAAACATACCTGCTTCAACAACTGCCCTTGTTTGTGCTGATGTGCCAGATGCTATATTTGTTAATGCCCATGCTGCTTCAAACTGTAGTGATGGCCTTGATGGGTCACTGGAATATAAAATAACTTCAATAACCCCATTTTAACATGCATTTTTGTCTTTATCTGCAGAAATTTTTACACATTTTAAAATTATTCATAGAACCCCTTAATCTGCTGATTTTCAACATTTAGCTACATTCATCACCCAAGAGCTTTTACAATTTACAGTATGTCTTCCATTTTTAAAAATCAAGTATTAGTGTTTACATATCACAGGGTTCTCGGGGACGCTTATTTCGGCGTCCCGGTACGCATGTTTATTACAGCTGGACGCAAATATTTCAGAGCAAGGATTCCAGGTACGCTTAATTTTGCCTGGGGACGCATAAACATTACGGATTGTTTACAACCACAAATACGTCAGCGCGTGTCAGTCTATAGGTAGGCGGTCCTATGCACATCGACCCGTGAAGCGATTAGCCAATCAGCGATAATGATTCCGATCATTATCACGCTATAGTGATCAGACAAATGTATACACATGTAATTACCAGATATAACACAAGGTGATAATTTTATATCTTTGATCAACAGTTGATTGGAAATTAGCAAATTTTACATACAAAAGGATAAAATTATCTACTATTTACGCCGCAAATTTAAAGACTGTTTTCTCAAATTACAAATGAGTGTAATTTTGAATGATTGTCGAATATTTTCCGCATTTTCTATGCACAATTTTGCTTTAGTTTCATTCTTGCAAAAACTTTCTATAAGAGTATTATGAATTCAAGATATTGTGCCGAAATGCCAGGACAACAAACCAAAATACACATACGCTTTTATTCTATCCGAAAATTGATCCCGAACATCGGCAATTTCACGTTCACCAGAACCCTAAAATTTCGCAAAAATTCTCAGTTTCCAAGCCAAACATGCGAATGAATTGTTCCTTTATTATTTAATCAACATTAAATCTTTAAATATCGATCTTCAATTTGCCCCCTTTTGAAGATATTTGCCAAAATAATTGTCGATATCGGATGAATCTCTTACACACTGTGTGAAGCTGTACACGATTTTCCTATTCATTCCGCTAAACGCTGCCTATATACATTTACGTTTTTTTTTTACAAATATAAACTTTTTGTCTTTAGAGTGGACTTATTTAACCAGAATGAAATTTGATTTGATATGAAAGTGAAGAAAAAAAAACGATTTCCATTTGTTGATACATTATAATGAAATAATTTCATAATAAATATTAACAACAAAACAATAATTATACTATGTAGTTCAGAGTTTCTTTTGAATAACTATAAACTTTGGAAGTCTCTTGAAGATTCAAAATATCAGCAATGCTATTGTGAGCATTGAATGACTAATCTGTAAACATATTAATTGCGACGCGCTTTTGGACTCCAACTTTTTCAGGGTTGGGAGTCCATGGACTCCATGTTTTAAAGTCCTAGTGAGAACCCTGCATCACACATTTTGTTTGGATCTGTGAGAATGCCTAACCAATGAAAGAAAGGCTTGCTTTTACATGTTTGTTTAATATCAGAAAGGAGATACTTTTGAAAAAAAATGACAAAGAACCGAACAGAATGTGGCCATGACTAATCAAATTCAAATTGTCAGCTCAGAATAGCGTTTTGCTTTACTCCTACTTAAATTACTTACTCGTCTTCCTTCGTCAAGCAATCTACAAGTATGGGAAGTATACCAGATGCAATCAAGTCATCAATAGGTGGATTCCTGTCACTAGACAATAATTTTCTGAAAGAAATTGAAATTAAAATGTAATTGAAGGTAAATGCAAATGTAAGCCTTAAAGATATACTACGCTCATCCATGAGTTAAATATTTCAGTCACCGAAATTTATTGAAATCTATGTAATTCTAATTGAACATGTCTTATTTGAATAAAAGAATGAATAAACTATGTATATGAAGCTACGTTCCCTATTATATGTCAAGTAAACTTGGTATTTTCTTTAAAAAAAATGCCAGTTTTTTCCAATGACACTATCTATTCATATTGTGACCACCTATAGTGTGGAGGATTTTAAACATAACATATCTACTTTGTGTAAAGTCAAAACATGTTTATTTAATATTTACAAAAAGACTGTGTAGCGATTGTCATTATTTTCAGATATCAAATTTGAGCATAGTATATCTTTAAGTACTTTGTGTGCAAGTCTCACAAAAGTAAACACACAAAAATTCACACTGGATGAAGATTTGAGTAAATAAGAAGTAAGATAGTCTTAACATGAAGATATTGTATCTTGCTTATTTTCTCTTAGTTACACCAGTGCTGACACACATCCCTGTATGATGATTTAAGGTATGCCTTACCTAGCTGCCTGAACAGCATTCAGTTGCACTGCTGGTTCAGAGCTGTATGCATTCTGGACAATATCTTGCAAAGACTGGGTCGAAGGTCGCACACTATCGTCACTGTCAGTACTGTCGGCAGTTAATGGAACATTTCTGCGTTTTAACATGTGCTCCTCTCTTTTGTTCTGTGAATGAAATCATTCTGTATCATGTGAACTCAATTCAATACACAAGAGAAAATAATGATACATCAACAATACTGTTACAAATGTTTCTTCTCACAAATAACATTCTATAATTAAAATTAGTCAGCAATCAAAAAGAATGAAAATGTATGTATACCAATGTTTCAATAATAAAGCTTTACAGCAATAATTACAACAGCGCCAATTTAAACCATGCAAATAAACAAAGCTTCTATGTAAACTGAACTTTTAATCAAAAACAAAATTTATCAGTATCTATTCTAATAAGACTGGAAAAGTTATCCCTCTCAAATTCAATTATGATTTAGAATGCTGCCCTTGGATTATTTTTCTAAATGAATGTTCTAAGTGTATTCAAAATTTCCTTTTCACTTTTTCTGTCGAACTGAATTTAGATTTCACTTTTAAAAATTAATATACCTTGCGAAGTTCAACTGTAACCTCAGTCCTTCTTCTACGCATTTCCTGAAAAATATGAACAGATTAATACAAACGTATTATAGTAAATCAGATTCCAGGGCCCTCGATCAACCAAATCTGCGGCCGATATTCGGCCGCAGTCCCCCACCAAAATAGTATGTTTTTTTCCCCCTAACAGAGGTAAAAATTCCCCCTCAAAACATAAAGTGTTAAAGAGAAAAAATGAAAACTACTGTTGTTTTTGAAAATTAAAATCCATCTATTTGACGTCTATTTTGTAAATGGAATATCGTACAGTACATGTCTGCACGTTTCCGTTTGTTTTTCCCCCAAAATCTACCGTCACATATTGGCCTTTCATCCTGTAAAAATACTAAAATTTCAACAGAAATATGCAGAAAAAATCACAATTCCCATCAACAATTTGATTTCAAATTGTTTATTCATGAAATCATTTTTTTTTTGTCTTCAAATGTTACATCAACCACGGTAAACTTTGCCGTAAATTACAAACTTGTAAGTTTTGTTTTCATGATACTTTATTAAATAACTGATGAAAAATGATCTTATAATAAACAATCAATTTAATTTTATATAATTTACATCAGAAACAACTAGAATTGTGAATGTGTAAACAGAAAACAAACAAATTTTCATTTGTCACATATTTTCGCGATGCCGATTTTTACCAATGTTTTACAAAGTCAAGAAAAGGAAGCTTTGTCTTATCAAAGGGGTGTTAGAACACTAGAAATGTAGTTTATGAATAGAATTTACTTTAGGTCCATGTATTGTTCATATTACTGGAAATGGAGACATTTGTCTGAATCTGTTTCTAAATTGCTTTTTTTTTTTTGGGGGGGGGGGGGGGGGGCGGTGAATCATAAAGAAGCTAAGCAGCATAGATCTGATGATTTAAGGTGTAAAAAAACTTTTCTTCAAATCTTATCAATCACTTCTGAACAGTTTAGTGTTACCCATTTGGGATTTTTTTTAAAAAATAATATGCATGTAAATAAAAAACAGCTGATATTTAAATAAGTTTATTTGATATTTGACCATAAAAGAAAAAGAGGAAAATTCCCCCCATACACCAAAATTCCCCCTGCTGAGGGTAGCGACCCGCTTCCCCCAAATTGGATTGAGGGCCCTGCAGATACCATTCAGGGAATTGTTTTGGCTTATTTTATAAGCTGACTCGAAAGATTAGACAATCTTCTGGATTAGACCCCTATGAATATTTCAGATGTAAAACTTGTATATAATACACTAAAAACACGGAATGAACCTTATATTATGTATATAATCCTGGTTTAGATCTTAGGGTCTAATCCAGGATATAGCCTACGTGGTCTGGGAAAAACCCGTTTTGTATTGAAAAGTTTACGTTCGTATCTAATTCAGAACAGCTTTCAGCTTCACAAGTAGCACCTACTTCAATATTATAATTCAGTGCAACTTACAATAGACAAGGAAAATTGTGCATTTCTAGTTTTTAAAAGCTGAATTATTTTTTTTTGAAATTCGAACACGAGCTTACAGTGATCTTTCGTTTATATCTTTAGAATTTTTCTATTTGAGAAGTTTTGCAATTTCAGAATATTAAAATTAAAGACATCCTTTTAATCAAATTACACGAGGTGTCTTTTTACGTTTTAGACCTTCAGGATAATTTTTGGGAACTTTCGTTTTACTATATAGAAAAATCGGTTTTAACTCTTACATCAGCATCTTTTCCTTTGTTTTTGTACAAATGGCCGCGTTCTTTTAAAGCTAATTCTGTCGTCATCTTTCGTATTTTAAGTACTTTTTTGTTCTTTTATAGAAACCACGACTTTTCCCAAAATGTCTGACCAGCTTGTCAATGAAACTGTATTTGGAAGCTGCTTTCTGATTGGATGCTGATTTTCCCGCCAAAAGCGAAACCATTCCTGTTAAAACAGTTATGTGGAGTAAATAGCATAACGGGAACGTACAAACAATTCAGATAAATATTGTTTTTAATGACATCAGAAATAAATCTATCTGCCTCATACTTCAAAAAACATTTATGATTAATATAGATTTAATCCGGTAAATACACTCAGCCAATCAAAATTCATTTAAGATTTACAAAATATTGAGTCAGTTTATAGAATCTATAATTAGTTTCGATTATTTTGCGAAATTTCTTTTTTTAATGGGTATTTTAAATGCAAGATATAATAAAAAAATATATACGTATTATTGTGGGCTCCAATACATTCTTTTATTGATTGTATTAAAAAATATAGACTCTACAATACTTATTCGAACATACGGCTATTTGTAAAATTCGTTCCATTAATTCCCGTACCATTATTTTTCGGTGGAACAGGCTTGCAGAGTATAGAGGTATTTATAATAATGATATATGTCTGGGGAAAATAATTTAAGCGCATAAACTGAAAATTATCTTTTAATTTCAAGGCAATTTTATAGTCTGTCATAAAATTTATTCCGGTTCAATTTTCGAACTTGGCATAATAATTTATGTTTCGCACCATTTAACTTCGACCCAAAATAAATTTTTTTGATTAAATATTCTGTTTCTGGCATTTACATTTTGACAATTCTTTGACACTGAATTGACATTATACTTTGAAGTTTTCTCTGAAAACTGAATAAAATGTATACTGACAGGGTTTGGTGCCATGAATTAGAAGTTATTGAACCTATTTTGTTTTATACTTTGTATATATGTGACATAATTTTAAAGGATTTCAAAAATTATCTGTTATCAAAACATAAAAATTGGGAAATAATTCTTACAACAGTGACTGTACCCAAATATTTTTCTTTCTGTTTATGTCATTTATTATGCTCAATAAACAAACAAAACTTAACAGAAATATCTTTATTACTTTTCTAGAAATATTATTTTTTATGTCATAAGCCCGATGAAGCATTTTAAACAGCCTGGTTACTTTGACGACAGAGAAAGGGAGTGATAGAAATATCAGGGATAGCAATAGAAATATCATATTCAGTTGGTTACTTTTTTCTGGCATTTCATATTGTGACAAGAGGGAACATGTTTTTATTTTTGCCTATGATACAAAAGAGAAAGAACATCAAAACACTCTGGCACCCCAGGGATTTTTCTTACATAATTGGGAAGAGGCCTTAGCCTCTTGATTTTGGGAAAAAATTGCAAATTTGGGCAGTAAAAATGCAAGTTTAAGTTCAGATTTTTGGGATAACTGCATGATTTTAAAGAAAATTTCAATTGGGAAGAGGCCTTTTATCGGAGTCTGTTATGGAAGCAGGAAAATCACAGCCTGCAATCTATGCCCCCTTGTACAAATCAGATAGCCTCCTGTTTTGATGCTCATTCTATTACATTGAGTACATAGGATAATCTTGACGGCCTAGTTGTAAGGATATTTACCTATTTCAAGTCGGTATTTACATTTTTATTGTATTCTTGCAATATCAACCCTATCAGAAATAAATCTAATCCCTCTCCCCCCCCCCCTTCTGCCTGAGTGTCTGTATTATTATTGCCTAAGTTAGAGATCTTTTGGAATAATTAGAACAATAATACCATGTCGGTGAGTCAATCTTTAGGGTTGATTTATGGCTCGAACTATTTTACACTTAATTTTTTCAGTTTTTAATCATGTACAATAAGACAGAAGAGGTTAACACTCTGTTGTCAGCAGAGTCAACTATTTCCCTACTGTTGACAGCAGTATATGCAGTGATTGGATGGTTGTTTGCCACTGTGTTTAGAGGAAAGGTGTCACAGATTGACTACTGGGTACTAATTTGGCTGGTGTATGATGTTCTTATACATATCACATTAGTGAGTATTTGTATTCAGAAATCCTTTTAACATTTCACTACAGTAAATGCCACTTAAACTTTATTTAGGGGACCACCAAAGTTTATATTGTTATATCCAGACATCATTACATTTGTTTGAAAACAAGAGTTTGGCCACAGAAACACTTATAGTTATAAGCAATATCAGTATAAGTGGAGTTTTCTATACTTTCTGTTTCAAATTTTATATAATATAACAGAAAGCGTTTTTTATGCCACCGCAGCATCTGCGATGCGGTGGCATATAGCGATTCACCTGTGTGTTTGTGTGTGTTCTATAGATTATATAGTGAACTTAAAAAATCTTCTTGTGAAAAACTACAAGTCCAATTTCAACCAAACTTAACAGGATTGATCCTTGGGTGAAGGGCTTCCAAAGTTGTTCAAAGAATTTCATTCCATGCAGAAATCTGGTTGCCATGGCAACCAAAAGGAATTATAAGAATAAATTTAAAAAATCTTCTTGTAAAGACCCAAAAGGCCTAGAGCTTAAATATTTTGCATAAGGCATTGTCTGGTAGACCTCTACCAAGATTGTTCAAATTATAGCCCTGGGGTCAAAATTGGCCACGCCCCGGGGGTCAATGATTTTCACTATATGTACATATAGTAAAAACTTAAAATACCTTCTTGTCTGAAGATATAATTAGAGGTTTGATATTTGGTATGTGTTATTATCTATAGGTACTCTACCAAATTTATTCAAATTTTGTCTCTAGTGTCAAAATCAGCCCCGCCCCGGAGGTCATAGGTTTTCCTTATATGTATATAGTAAAAAACTTAAAAAAAATTTCTTCTAGCAATTGACAAATGCTAGAGGTTAGATATTTTGCATGAAACATTGTGTAGTGAACCTCTAGCAAGATTGTTCAAATTATTGCCCTGGGGTCAAAATTGGCCCCGACCCTGGGGTTATTGATTTTCAATATATACATATAGTAAAAAATCAAAAAATCTTATTGTCTGAAGGTACAAGGCTTAGAGCTTTAATATTTGTTATATGATATCATCTATAGGTACTCTATCAAAGTTGTTCAAATTTTGCCTCTGGTTTCAAAATTAGCCCCACCCCGGGGGCCATAGGTTTTCCTTATATGTATAGAGTAAAAACTTAAAAATCATCTTCTCTAAATTTACAAAGGCTAGAGTTAAGATATTTTGCATGAAACATTATGTAGTGAACCTCTAGCAAGATTGTACAAATTATAGCCCTGGGGTCAAAATTGGCCCCACCCCCGGGGGTCATTGATTTTCACTATGTACATATAGTAAAAAATTTAAAAAAATCTTCTTGTCTGAAGGTACAAGGCTTAGAGCTTTGATATTTGGTATATAATATCATATATGGGTCCTCTGCTAAAGTTTTTTAATTATGCCCCTAGTGTTAAAATTGCCCTGCCCCAGAGGGGATAGTTTTCCTTACATGTATAAAGTAAAAACTTGAAAAATCTTCTTTTCTGAATTGACAAAGGCTAGAGGTTAAATATTTGGCATGAGACTTTGCGAAGTGAACCTCTACCAAGATTGTTCAAATTATAGCCCTGGGGTCAAACTTGGTTCCGCCCTGGGGGTCATTGATTTTCATTATGTACATATAGTAAAAAATAAAAAATATTTTTGTCTGAAGGTACAAGGCATAGAGCTTTGATGTTTGCTATATAATATCATCTATAGGTCCTCTACCAAAGTTGTACACATTTTTCCCCTGGTGTCAAACTTGGCCTTGTCCGGGGGCAGTGATTCTCATTATGTACATGTAGTAAAAACAGAAAACAAAACAAATGTTTCCTGAATTGGAGAAAGCTACAGCTTAGATATTTGACTTGAAATGTTGTTTGGTGGACCTGTATCAAGATTGTTTTGAATTAAACCCTTGGGTCAAAATTTTGCCTTGCCCAAGGGGACAGTGACCTACTTTCTTGTCCTTTGATGTACAGCAATAAAATTTTGACCATGTGCACAGTTATAGTTGTAAAATTGAACTTTGATATCAGGTGACCGTGATTTTGATGATGTGACCTACTTTCTTGTCCTTTGATGTACAGCTATGAAATTTGAACCATGTGCACAGATTAAGATGTAAAGGGAACTTTGATATCAGCTGACCTAGATTTTGTCAAAGTGTCTTACTGTGTTGTCCTTTGATGTAGTCATGAAATTTAGGCTGTGTGAAATATGACCTTCACCACCAAATTCACTAGACTCAAGTGCATTGTTATATTCCTAATCTGATCTTTTATTGGATTTACAATAGATTTAACCACTAATCTGATAATAAGAATTAGATAGGTCAGGGATCTATGCATTATGACAATCTTCAATTGTATAGAAACAAATAAAAATCTGTTCCTACACTACTATTTAGTGTTGTATTAATAATGTGGCATAGCATTTTTTCACAAATGCAATCTTGTTTAAATGTTCCACATGTAAAATTTTTCAGCAGTTTTTCCTGAAGCATATAGTATAAAGCAAATGGTTAAAGTGACAGAATTTAATATAAGTATTGTTACATACATGTAGGCAGAAACATAGTGTTCCAGTAACCCAGATATTTTTCAGTAATATAATTATTGTGCTAATATAATTATTAACATGCACAAGCATTAGCTTGTCCTATATTATACTGCTTGCCCCTCATTCACTGCATGCTGAGGGTATAAATCCTGTCAGGAAAATATCAAGGTAGCTTGTAAAACTTCTGTGTTTTTATCCTGGTGCCCACTGCCCGCTATAATTTTGTGAAGAACATGCTCTTAATTGAATTTGAACCTTTCCATTAGCATTGTTTACAAAAGTGTTTAGCAGTAAAGATTCTTTTCAGACTACAAGGAAGTGAAAGCATGACATGTTACTGTTAGATTTTGTAAGCCATCATCATCAAAAACATTTAGGTAGTTAGTGAACTATGAGGAACAGATTGTATAATATCAATTTCATTTTTCAGGAGGGGTCATTTGTAGTGATCTCCCTGGTCAGTACTGTACAGGACAGTGACCATTTTGCTGCCATGACATGTAAGTATTAAAGCTACATGCCTCCAGATGTGTCAAAATATTTCAATAAAATCAAACTTGAGAAAAATGTACTAAGATGTAAGGAAAAGTAAAATGTTTCAAGATTCAAGTAATATTTAACATATTATGTGTGATTAATGACTTATTTTTCACTAATTACAACTATAAATCTACTGCGTTACTAATACAGTAAAAGATGCATTCCATCACTTGTGGGCTGAATATTTCACATAAACGTTAGACAAAGAAAAAAACAACACCAAAATATTGTTAGGTTTAAGATTTAAATTGAACAAAAAAATTATCTATAAAAAAAATCACATTATCATAAATTATGGTCATTGGTATTTATACAGATATTTTTGTTTCAGGGAAGGAGTATGCAAAGGCAGATGAACGCTGGGGTATATCTGATCCAACCATTGTTTCCCTGGAAATTCTCACCGTAACCATAGTTACCCTGTTTGCTATAATGTTGATATATGCCATTATAGAAGGACGGTATTACAGACACTTCCTGCAGATAAGTGTATGTGTCTGTGAACTATACGGTGGTAAGATTCTTCTTTATGTTGCAATGCTTTTTTACTGTCATGATAGTTTACATTTTGTATTACTTCTGAAAAGAAACAACATTTCTTATTCCTTATTATTGACCAGTTCAGTCAAGTTTTTATCATTCACTCTACATTGGAAGCACCTCAGTTTACTTTTATATTAATCAAAACTTTAAAAAATCATATAATGAAGGTTTGGTGGAAAACAACTGTAACACATTTTACATAATGAAGCAGTTACGTCCCTTTCACACAAACC